TTTGATTATCAGTGAAAGTCAAATATCACTGAGAAAAATTCAAAAGAAGACAAGGTGTCCCCAAAGCATTGACAGGCAATGCAAATTCAGGTAATACACTTTCTCTATGTCCCCATTTCTCCATCTCAGTGTTTCAAGTAGCCGCGCTCTGTCCCAGGCATGTTTCAAACGTACATTCACTGACAGGGACAGATGACGGAGGAGAATCAGTAATTAAGCACATCGTACATCATAATGGAGAAGCACAGAGCTGGAACACACAGAAAAAGACAGTCGTAACGAATCAAATCTGATGGGATTCCAAGAGGCTTAGAATGAGTCATCCAACACACTCAGTCTTCAATGGAAACACACAAAAAAAACACACACTGGCATGGATGAATAAGTTCTAGTCTCTTTTTTAGCAGTTCAGAACCAAATGGAACACCAAGCCAGGGTTAAAATTGTTCAACTACGTCAAATGATGTAAATATTTATTTTTGCTATGGAAAAAATACTGCTATGCACTATAGTATTAACAAGCAAAAGCCTGCATTCTTGCATTTAAAATGCTGTATTTCACAATTTAGGAAAAATGGGAAAATTTGGGTAAACGTCATAACAGTCCAACAAACCCACTCCCCCCAAAAAACCTGAACACTGCCCAGCTGCAACTCAAGTGATTAGCTTTATTTAAATCAGCACTTCTCTACATCTCTATGGTGAACTATGGTTATAGGTTTTTCCCAGCAGAGTGTTATATCTGCTAGAAGATGTTTTACTTCAACAAATTGTGCTACAGTTTGGCCACAAGATTCTGATGCTGTTTACATATTAGCAGACATTAGCATCCTCACAATGAAGTTGATTTCTAATTCCATTTACTCACCTCATTCAGATTTATTTCATTTACACCTTAACAGTTACTCTACAAAATAGATGATTTTCTTTATTGGCACGCTTTATTTCATCTCTTGCATGTGATAAGCGTGCTGCTGAGGAGTATTAACATGTTGTATTTCACTTGAAATGTTTAGCAAAGATATAAAATATAGTCTTTGTATATAAGTGCTTTAAAATAAGTGCTTAACCTCTTTTTTCAGCAGCCATAAAATGCAATTTCCACCTGCTTTGAAGGTCCCTGAGTTTTTTTACACTATGCACCTGTTCTTCAATAACATTGATGGACCATATTTTGATGGAAATGTGTATGATTCATAAAACCGGAAGTAAACTGGATCTTAGTCTGCGTAGGTGAGCAAGCACGTCATAATTTATGAATGTGTTTATATTGTGTTTTATAGCTCAAGTTTTAGAGTACATTTCTCTTTTGACAGAAAGCAGTGACAGTGCTGTCTGCTTTATCTTGGCATGGCCATGTTTCTGGAGATGTATGAATTGCTTTTGCAGGAGGGGGTATTTTGTTTGATCACAGTAATTCAAAATATCTGGGTCAATTAGGTGGGCTGCAAAAAGATTTTGAAGTTATAGTTCATTTTTGAAGTGATTTGGGGAAAGTGTTACCCTCTGTGTATGTGAATGTGTTGGTTCCAACTCAATTGTACTATTAATTGAAAAGCAAAAAAAGAAAAGAAAAATGGTTCACTTGATTTATATCGTATCTGATTGATGATTGGCAGTTAGTAAATGTGACTCCTTTAACAATGTCATAATTAGTTTGCTTCATATAATTAGTTGTATTGTTTAGTGGGTTGGTGGCTACAATGTTATGGGCATTCTGAGGAAAGCCATGTGTCTGTACATTTGTCTGTGAGCTTAAAGATTACTCTCTAAATTATACAAGCGCTGTGCAACTTTCTTCTACCTTTGCATATTGTTTTCAGCATGGTGAAGGATGGAAGTGAGCAGTCCATCTGCCGAAAGCAATCAGATAAACTGGTAATGGTAAAGTACATTTTAAACATGCGCAGTAAACCCACAATTTATTTCTAGTTCAGCAGCATTAACCCCAACATGATATCCATATTGGAGGATGAGATCATAGTTCATTTTATGGTGAAATAACAAATACTATGTCTGGATTAAGTTGGTGAAAGAATCAATCTAGATGATCTGTAGCAATCAAAAGCATATAGGACACTTCAGACAGCAAAAAAGGGCAGGAGAGTAAAACTGGCAGTGCTGATTATACAAGGAGTTAAAGTAATGCATTTATTAAGAGACTCTAGAAGGTTTGAGGAATATGTTTATATGTTTATTAAAACCAATTTCACTTTGTCCTGTTATCAAGAGATCAAAGGAACTGGTAGAGAATTTGAGTTGTTTTTTTGGAATTTACCCATTTCTTATGACCAACAAACTCATACTGAATCAGTAATTGTTTGTAGATGTCACAGGTGCATAATTTTCTAAACTTTAAGTAGGTTAATGACATGGATCTCCTGACCCTCTAGGCTTTGTTCCTCCACCAGAACAATGTTGAAAGTGCAGAAGTGGTAAACAAAAGAAATAATTTTTAAAATTCTGTATTTTAGAGTCCAAAAAGTCATGGAAGATCATGGAAAAACAATATTTAAAAAAAAATTACTATATTTTGACCTGGCTTAGAATTTCTTCTTTTCTGGCTGACATATTTAATTGGTTTTCCAAAGTGTATGACAGAAAGACTTCTCCTGGCCCAGTATTGGCTCTGAACGGCTGTTCAGTTAGCTCATTTTCCCTACCACATAGTTAACAGTAAGCATTTATGTTTGGCATGATTTTGTCAAAAAAGGATTATTCTTAGGGAGTGTGAAACCTGGATTTCCTCCCTCATTTAAAACATGGCTTTCTGAAATGGTTTCCTCTGTACATTTGGAGAGATAATGATGTATTAATGCAGGCTCAGTCAAGAAATACAAAAAGATATGAGACTCTCGTTAAATTGAACTGGTTGAAAGTCAAAAATGACAACACATTTTAGACTTTTAACTGACCTTTTATTAAAACTCCTTTGCTTTGAATGAACCTATACCTTAATTATGTTTATTTTATTAAAATAAATGATCGATCGTTCCGTTTTGTCACTAACAAAATGATCATAACACAACTTTACAGTAGTGACTGTTCCTGTAGTGACAATTTTTGCTCATTTTGAGCACAACTCAAAAAAGCTAACCAGTACATGACTGGTAAACACAGCTTTCAACAGTTGAACACACATCATTTCACAATATTTTTATTAAAACATAGAACAGTTTACATAATTGCAGAAAATATGTGTTTTGGTAGTGACAATTTTTAATGTTACACACTGATTTTACACACAGACTCTAAAATGCAGGGGGGGGGAAAAGTACCCTATAGAAAGTACACTATAAATAATGATTTTGTATTTACTTATTACTATCTAAATTACTTGGGTTTAAATAGATCATAACAAAATCTATGTAAATATGTAAGGTCTGAATACTTAAATGTTTTTTTAATAGTTTGTTTTTTTACTGTGGAACCGCAGTTTGAATTAATACAGCAGGATAGTCCATATTAAAAATGATATGATATGATAAATCATGTTTAATATGACCTGAACTAAAAATGCAAAAAAAAAGATCCCTTTTGATTTCCAGTTTACTTTAAAGGCTTTATGCTACAGAATTAAAAACACTAATAATCTCACTCACGGCCAAACCAGCCTGGAAACAGAATGCGTAAACAACTGCGATAAACATCATGTAAGCAGATTTGCTCATTGTACTTTTATTATTGTCTCTCGATAGTAACATGCAAATAAGTCCTCTTCAGTCTCAAGTACTTTTAAGAATACCTAAAAAACCTCACACCATCCAAAAGCAATCTGTTGCTTCACACCACTGCTGAATTAGGCAAACACATTCAGATGGCAGTAGGAAATTGGGTCTGAGCTGAATCTAGAAACCAGGGTCACCTTCAGCCTCACAACGGGGTCTTAAGCAACAGTAGTAGGGCACAACAACAACAAAAAATAAATAAATAAACATGCTTAAGTGGCACAGCCAGAGGCCTGACCCAAATTCTATTGAAAACTGAAGCATCCAAACTAATCGACCCACTGCCCACAATTTGAGCTTGTACAGTAAAGATGAATGGCCAAAGCCTGTGAAATCTTGGTGTGCTACATTGACAGATTCAAAAAGTAATTCAAAAAAAATAAGATGTTCCAGACGAGTTCCACGCACCAGACAGTGCAGCTTAGTGTTTTTTATTTGTTTATTTTAAATATATTTTATAGAAAACAGTGCATTTTTGTTTAGCTGAGCGTTACAGTGAGCATTATGTAAATAAAGGAGGCATTCTAGCAGCATTGTGCAGACATAGTAGAGACCCTTTCAAACAGAGAACTGCTCCAACTTAAGAGTGGTACTGACTGAAGATGAAATTTGCTGCGTATTGTTGTCAGCTTCGAATGACTGACAAAGTGACAATGAACAACAATAGCGCAGATTGCTGGCTTTGATAGAGAAATTGCACATTTAATTATGATTTATAATTAACATTGTTCCGCCAAACATTCCCCAGTGCAGAACAACGGCAGAGAAGAGCAAGTTAACACCAATCGAAGGAACACAAAGACAAAAGCCTGCATAATTATGTCACTTCTCGGGTACACCATGTGCGATCAGCAGAAGCCTGTGGATTGCTACTGACCTCTGCTGGAGGAAAGTGGCTCTTACTGCACACAAAGAAAAAAACATGCTCATTTTTCATTCACTTTTCACTCATCTTCCCTCAGTTGCTTCATAAACATAAAGTGCACATAAACACATTTACATTACTGCACAAGGACTGATCTCTGAATTTAATGTGAACTCCAAACTCCTAATGTGAACTGGACATTCCTGATCAAATAACATGTTACTGTTAATTTTTGAAGTACAACTAAGCAACACATCTTCTAGAGAGAACACACTAGTGTACAATTACTGTGTATCCGCTGAATTTAACATATTAGAAAAAATAAAACATAAAATTTGGCCTCTGCAAAAGTCATGGCACATTTTCTATTTTATGTTTTATTTTTTTCAACATGTTAAACCCAACAAATAAATAGAAATAGTGCACTAAAATGTTTATGTTCTATGTAGAGGATGAGTTAACTTTTCACCTTAAAAATCAACAAAAGGTAATTCGATCAGGGCTTTTGCACTGTATACTGTAAAAGCATTTACTCAATTCTGACAAGCTAATTAATTTCCTCAGATGATTGTCATTGAGCCTTATTGTCAGGAGAACTCTGCTAGCAGTTTTGTTTATTTTACAGTTTTTTAGTGCTATCCAGTATTATTTCTTGATTTTTAGTTGTCTACAACATTTAAGCACAGCAGCTGCCCTTTACATTGTGTAAAATGATGACTGGACCAACAGAAATGCTCTAAAATTGCTTGGAATATATATATATATATATAATATACTGTGACGATATATTAAGCGACCATGATTCTTAAAACACTTGAAAGAACTTCATAGCTGTACCAAAAATGGTTTTGTCAACTTTAAAAAAGCTTAGTTTTTTTGAGTAAAGTGAAGAACTAATCATTATTATGTACTGATATTTTAAGAAGCATAGGTGACAACTGAGCATGACCAAAGTGTCATTAGTCTAGTCCACTGGTTTTCAACCTGTGGGCTGCTGCCACCCAGTGGGTCATGGTGGTCCTGTTAAGGTGCTGTTCATAGTCTTTTTCTTATCCTTTAACTGTAAAACTTGGTTACTATATAGAGACATAAATGAATATGGCAAATACTCTTGTGATAATTATTTGAAAGCATTTTTAGATCAAACAGTGATTGGTCTGGCAAAATGCATGACCAATATTTAATTTTCAGTCAATGTAAAATCTCTTTTCTCAATGGAATTTATTCATCATGGATAACTGGTTTCAAACAGAATTTTTTCACATATATTTGAAGTTTATTATGTTGCGTGATTGTACAGTCAAGTGAAGTTCGATACATTATTATGCTTTATATTTGCATGCATTTGAAAGAATCAGGCTGGTTAAATATTTTGTGTGGGCTATGGAAGCTTTTGTTGTCGCTTGTGTGGGGTCTGAGTTGGGAATCCCTGGTTCATTTGAAAAACTGTTCAGTTTTGTATCCGTTTTCCTGCTACCTTAAGTGGTCCACTTGGTTTCTTTGGCATCCACTCGTGTTTGGGTTTCTTCTCCTTCCTGAGCTGAAACAGGAGGTCAAGCTCATTGTTTCAGACCAAAGGAAGAGAGATATATATCCATGTCTAAAATTCAGCACAACCTATGACAAATGTGTGAACAATAGATATACATACAACCCTAAGTTCCAAAAATGTTGGTATAGCATGTACAATGAAAATAAAAACAGAAAGCAGTGATGTATAAATCCACTTTGAACTGTATTTAAACAAAAACAATACTAAGACAAAACATTTATGGCTTTATCTTATTAATATAATTGCTTTTTGTAAACACATTCCTTCTGAAATTAACAACTAGTTCTAAAAGAGTTGGGACAGATTCAATTTAAGACTAGGAATGTTGTGAAATCTTCAAAATACATCTTAAACAGGTGATGCAATCATGTTTAGGTATAAAATGAGCATCCAGGAAAGGCTTAGACCTTTATGAGCAAGGATGGGGTGAGGCTCACCACTCTGCCTAAAAATGCGTCATAATTCGACAGTTTAACTTTACTCAAATGAGCGATGGCAAGAATTTTCGGTTTATCACCCTCTACAGTGCCTAATGTCATCAAAAGATTCAGAGAATCTGAGGAACTCTTAGTGGACAAAGCCAAAAACCACAACCGTGACACACTGGTACTGCATAAAAAAAACTTCTGTGAGCGGTATCACCATATATCATGAATACTTTGACAAACCGTTGTCAATAAACACCTTTGTTACTGAATCTACAAACGCAAGTAAAGGTTGTAGTATGCACAATAGAAGTCATATGTCAACAAGCCATATTTACAAAAAAAGCATTAAAGTTAGGTAAAACATCAAATAGCACTTTTTTATATCTTTTAATACAGATCAAACAGAATCTAATAATCACTGCTTTCTGTTTTTATTAGCAATTAACATACTGTCCGGCCTCTTTCTGGAATTAGTAACGTAAATTGCTGATGACATCATTCCTTAATTCTATTCACAACATGTATAGAAAAAATGTAAAATAATAAAGTAGTTATATGTCCAATTTTGTTGGAATTTGCCAACTCACTAGAACTTCTAGCTAACTAATTGATTACCTATGTGATTAGTCTATTATTAGACGTTGAGTTTTTACTTACAATTTCAAACAAAAATCAAATTAATAAAACATCAGATGTTATTTTTGGCCGATAATAAAAATGATCTGATTCTGTCACATATCTTAAAGAAAAGTCTGTGAAACTCCACTGAAGTCCATGGGTGACACTTCCTTCAAGGAAGTATGCACTGCTGCAGCAGTGGCTTCATTAGAGTACCCTCTGCTGGTTGTCTAGGTCTCTGATCTATCTATGGCAGTGCTTCTTAATCCTGCTGCTGGGGACCCTTTGCTCTGCACAGTTTCAACTATTCCTTGCCTCAACACAACTAATCAGCTCATCAACTAATTATCAAGTCCTTTGTGAGCTGGATCAGATGGATTGGGGTAGTAAGTTCAAACTACGCAGAGCAGTGGTTCCCCAAAAGCAGGATTAAGAAACTCTGATCTAGGGTGTGAAACAGTGTTTGAGGACTTACTCTGGCTTGGTAGCAGCTCTCAGGAGAAACCATGTCATTCTCATCTGCCCCCTTCAGGTCTCCTGCTTCCGTCACCACAAAACACACCCACATCCACAGAGCCAAGAAAGATTGTGAGATAGATTGACCTAACCTATCATTCTGTAGCCATGGTAAATCATGTGGGCACGTTTGATGATGACATGTCCTAACCTGAGGTCTCTGACAGCGTTCCATATGCTCCCTTATGTTCTTCACGCTGCTCAGCTCTGGCAGGACTCGCGACGTCATGTGGAGGAAGGCCTGTTCACACAAGGAACCAATTACTGCACAGTCTGAGCAAAAACATTTTACTACTGCATTTGACACGTCAATAAATCTATTCCAAATCACTATGCTCTATTGTCTTCTCACCAAGTGAGGTGGAATGAGCATAGAAAAGAAAAATTTGCTTCCATTAGACACTGTTCATGTTTTCTATATGGCTATACAATATACAAAAAAATCAGTGACCACCTTTCATTTATTTAATGTCCAGTCAAAACATTTTTTTTTATTTTTCTGCATCAGGAAAAAAAGCAGAACACATATATTGAACAGAAACAATGAAGCCTCAACAACTAAATATAATATCACTGTTTCAGTGTTAAGTGTGTGCTTCTTTTATTTGTATTATTTTCAGAAGACTTGCCTTCAGTTTTTCAAAGAAATCTACAGGGATATTTTTCCACACCTCCAAAGTTAAGTTTTAGAAGTTGGTTGCATTTTCTGCTTTTCACAATCCAAGCAATCCCAAACATACACTGATGTTGAGGTCTGAACTCTGGGGTGGTCAGTCCATTATTTGATTTGTAACTTTTCTTTTTTTTCTGTCTTTCCTTTTCTCTGTAACCACTTCTTGACAGCTATGCATCCTTTCAGGCCCACAGTGTTAAACTGTCTTCTCACAGTGGAAAGATTTTTTTCACATCTGAAGCAAGAGTGGAGCTTGATTTTCTCCAAGCTCACAAAGATGAAAGCTTTAAGTACTGTTTATCTTATGGTGGTAGCTTTGGTGGTCTATCAGGTCTTGCACGGTTGTTAGGAGGCCCATTTTAGACAAAAAAACTTTTGGAAACTTCTGTTTTGTCACCTATTTCACTCACCTATTTTTCTAATCGCCTCAGACGTATCTCCTGAAAAAATGAATAATGTGTACTTAATTGCCAAAATTAATGACTTAAATGAAGTAAATGAAGGGGCGCTCTGACTTTTGTAGAATATTGCATGTACTGAAATGAGCTATTCCAGTATCTTACACACTTAAGATGAACTTGAGTGTTAGGAAATAAATTAAACGGGATTACACCTTGCACCCACTGCACTTTGTTCTGTGCTGCATCTTTGTTGTATATTTGCACTACTGTTAATAGTTCTGTCTTATTAATACTGCACTGGGCTGATACTGTCTGATACTGATGCTGAAAAGATGCTGAGAAGACGCTGCTGATACCTGTATTGTTGTTATATTCTGCACTACTGGTAATACGCTGCTGTATTATCAGTATTGATAGTTATCCAACTGTATTTGTGTATAATGTATGTATATATGGATAAATACATATTTTGTATATACTGTATGCACATATTCCAATTTAGATTTTCACACTCAAAATGTCATTTTTGGAGACCCTTGACCCACCCCTACTTATAAAGGGCTCTGCCTTTCCTGGACACTCCTTTAAAACTCAAGCATAATAGTATCACCTGTTTAAGATGTTATTGACCATTTCACAGTGTGTCTTAAACTGCTCCTGTTACAACTTTTTTGAATGTCTTGCAGGCATCATTTTCAGAATGAACGTATATTTACAAAAAAAAGTTAATAAGGTCTTTATACTGTTTTTGTTTAAATATGGGTCAATGTAGATTTAGTAATCACTGCTTTCTGTTTCTATTTGTATTTTACCTACTGTCCCAACTTTTATGGAACTTAGTTTGTATATTATATATATTATTTTTCATCTTAAAATATGCATCAAAATCAGTCACAAACTGAATCTTGTTGTACTTGTACAATGACACTTCTATTTTAGTTTACAGATCCCAGACCACTGCTCTGTGAATTTCTAGCCACTCCAGAATAAATCTGTGTCTGCACTGGATGTACTACTCTATTCTGAAATACCTGAGCCACTAGGGTCCAGCCTCAGGTAGCCTTCTACTAATGAGCTGAATCCAGTCAGACCTCCCATAGCTGCATATGGCACCGCCCTGCCCACTGGCAGCCTCCGCGACCGCCGCTCTTCTCTGCTCTCTACCAGTGTCACATGGGCATGGCCCGGCTGACCGCATCCACAAGTATATGGGCTTTGAAACCCTGTGCAGGCGCTACCTGCAAAAAAAACAACAAAAACAATAACAACAACAATTTTTCATTTTTATTTCCGTAGATTCTTTTAGCACTAGGGCCCTTATCCTACATTTGTCTTGTGTGGTTTTATGTACCAAAAACACACACACACACACACACTTTCCGTTTTGGAAATGTATAATGCAGCTAATTGGCAGAATTCTTAACGTAAAACAAAAAAAGGATCCAGGCTTGTTTTTACTGGGCCTCACCACCAAAACAGTCTCGCTATCGTCTTTACATCACTGCTTGACAAATTGGTACTTCTAGCTGGGAAGTATATTCTTAATAATTTGCTAAGAGAGACACCTTCTGTACCTCAGTATTATAGGGAAATATTTAGGATACAGTATGTTTTGAAATTACATACTACATCAAAGACTTTTATTTTCTAAAAGTGGGGAAAATTCAGTTTTTCACAATACGGGTCCTCTAATACAGGCAAGATAACACTGGCCAGCAGGCAGCGGCACAACTAGGATGTTATGGGCCCCAGAGTAAAAAATATGATTGGGCTGCCACACAAGTCTGACTTTAAAACCAATTTGGCAGGATTATGCATATAAGCTAATGGTTGAAGTATATTATTAAGCTATGTATAGGTACCCATGAGTCATTGGTACAAAATTTTGTAAGTAGCTAAATAAGGGGCCGAACAAGGACAAAGATAGCGGAGCTGATCACCCTGCACCCTGGCCACTGCTAGAATAGAGAGCTGTATCAGACTCACATTTCTTGCACAGGTGGTCTGCAGCTTCACTGTGCTCACTGGGTGAGTGTTTGCAGCGGCAGCGCACGGCCTGAGAGCCAATGTGATGTACATATTGGTAGGACCCACAGCGACAGCCCTTAACTTGACAGGGCAAAGCGATGGGCCTCTCTGTTGGTAGCTCCTCAAAGTCAGTCTGATGCTGTTTAAATCTGTTGGTTAAATAGCTCACCATGAAAGTTTTTGAAAAAAGCAAGAGAATGTGTATGTAGAGTATAGGGAAACAAGAATTCAGACACTTTTGATTACTTTATACTTATACTTCTAGTGCATATATCTACTTTAAATATACACACATAATGAACTTTGATTTTGAACAACAGCCTACACAGAGAACAATAAGGATGAATTGCACTGTAATCATCTCCGTTCCTATATCCTACACAAAACTCCTTTGCTAAAAAAATTCTAAAATTTGCACACAGGCACTCAGACAGTCAGAACTGTTTTGAAACAATGTACTCTGTTCAGACAAAACAAAAATGGAACTCTATGTCAATAATTCAGCTTGTCATGTTTGGAGAAAAACATGCATATGATCCCAAGAACACCATACCCACAGTGAAGTACAGACATGGGAGCATCATAATATGGGGCTGCTTCTCTGCAAACAGCACTGAGGTGGGGCGCTACAAATTATAGAAAGAAACATGAATGGCGCGATGTACCAGTAGAATTTCATCTCCTTGGACAAGAAACTGAATATGGGGAGAAGATGGACGTTTAAACAAGACAATAAGCCACATGGCTGTGCCAGTCTCCTGACCTGAAGTCCATCGAATTTCTTTTTGGAGAATTTTAAAATTGTTTTAATTGTTTAAAAGACAGTTTGCCAAGAGGAAAATTGAACCACAATGCTACAAAAAGCTAATTCATTCTTACCACAGATTTCTGACTGCTATAATTGCCTTATTTAATACTCCGTATTTATGTTTATGAATACATACATTTTTTTTCATATTTATATGTACGAGTCAAGAGACATCATGTGAAACGTACATTTGAATTGGATATATGCACTGAAAGAATACTAAATAACAAAAACAAAAGTTTCTTGTGGTCATATAACCAATGATTTCACCAATGATATATGTTACAGATAATTTCACTTATACATACATACATCATCTAAACTGCTTATCCTTCTGGGTCACGGTGGGGTGCTGGAGCCTATCCCAGCTGTCATTGAGCGGAATAATTTCACTTATAATATATGAAATTCATATAGCCAGTCAGACTACTTGTATCCTAATTATATTTGTATGTTTTATATGTTATGCATATTACTCGTAAATTTAGGGTGGACCATCACTGGTCTCTGGGTACGAGGAAGGTAACATATCAGCTGCTTCTCACATTCTGTGTCTAGGTCTCATCTCTTGTTTTCCTCAACTGAAGCCTAGTTAGCTGACAGAAGCTACAGTGAATCTTTGTTTATGTAGCCTTGAGGTTACAGGCTAGCTAATCTCAAACAGACCAGATGTGAGAGGACTTTGCTCACCATATATGAGTTTCCTTCCTTGTCATTAATTATGCATATATGTTAATACTCTCCCATTTAATTATATATCACAATTAGGTGTAACCAATGAATTGTACTTCTTTGTTCTCTGTTAACCAATAAAATGTAACAACCCCCATTTGGGATATATATATATATATATATATATATATATATATATATATATATATATATATATACATACATATATATATATATATATATATATATCTTGTACTTTTGGTCTGATTTTGGAGATCTCTGGGTATCTGCCAAGAGTTTCTCCATGACCGAGAGTTTTTCAATACACATGTTACACTGGAGCAAGAATTGTGTCTGTGAGATTTTCCTGTTTTCTGTTTAATTTAGAGATTTCTGAATACAGTCTAAATACATGTTTCCCCTCACTGTATATGATTGTGTATGAGTATGTATTTTCACACATACCTGTGTGAACAAAAACAAGGTGTCTCTGGACCAATGAGCTTGCAGTCTATTTTGCCGGGGACACCAAAACTCACATACAGCCGGTTATATACTCTGGTTGGCATCACCTTCCTTTTGTACTCTTCATATTCTGCCTCTGAGAAGAGTCTTCCACCATCATCCTCTCCTACAATCCTTACAGACACAACAGTTCCTTACAGAACACAGGATATACTGACTGACGTTAAGTTGCCAAGCTTACTTTATTCAACACTGTATATCCAAAAGTGTACTGAGCTATTTTAAGGTACTCTCATTGCTCAAACTGGTGTGCACTGGAAGTAGAAAGCAATGTAGTGGAGCAGCCATACACAAACCTGACATTGCATGCTCAATACCAAGTGTTGGCTAGAGAGGTATCAAGCTTCCCAGCTTTTGAAAGCGAAACAGAGGAATCAAGTTTTTGGAGTGATGAAGCACCACTGAACAGCTTAAGGATGACTTGTAAAGCCTTTTGTGAGCCTAATCATCCAGCATCAGTACCTGACCTCACTGCTCTTGTTGCTGAATGCCATTACATCTTTAAAGCAATGTTCAAATATCCACTGTAAAGCCTTCCCAAAAGTGTAGAGGCGCATACCGCAGAAAAGAGGGGACAAGCTCCCTATTAATAGCCTTATTTTCAGAAGACATTTTGGACAATCATGTGTCTGCATATTTTTGGACATTCAGTGCATGTGTTCAAGTAAATGTACATTAACTCCTCCAAACACATATTCCATGACAGAGGTTGCTGTCTTCTGTTTGTTTTATGTAAAAACAGAAAAGCACTGTAAGTACTGTAATTATTGTAGTATACTTGTCAAACAATTTCACTTAAGTTTTAATTATTTATTCAATTTTTTCAGTTAAAACTTGATCCATAAAACAGTACTTCTTTATTATTAGTTAAAAAAATCAGTCCAGAGTGACTTTAGCAATTTTCTAGTCTCCCAACAGTTAAAAGGGAACCCCACTGATTTTTCAAAAAATCAACATATTAAATGGTTAAGATGTAAACAAAGTCATTCAGAGTGGTTTGATGTGGAGTTCTCCCTTCTAGAGAGTCAGAATTGGTCTCAGTGGTGGTGACAGGAACCAGATATCCAGTTCTAAAAGCTCCCTCACAGAAAGTTACATAAAATGGTTACATATATGCTGCTTGATGTCTAATAAGACATTGTTTTATGATAGTTCTGTGATTACGTTTTGGCTTAAAAGGTATTTTAATATATTAGAATAATACATTTTTTACCATCAACTTTTACCATCATCATCATCACATATAAAAAGTCAGAAGGCATATGTAGGTTCACTGGTGGTTTTGGATAGAAAATAAAATATATTTATGTTGTAGACATTGAAACCTCTCGTTCCTATCACCACTACGGTAAAGAAATCTGAGTTTCTCTACAATGAACCATTTCACGTCATAACACTCTGAATGACTGTTTACATCTCAAGCACTGAATTACTCAGAAAATTTGGAAAATTTGTGGAATTCCCCTTTAACAGCTAACCAAAGACATACATGGCCAGCAAGAAATCGAATAAAATGAGGCTTCATTTCTGTATTCATAAACGAAATATTATTTTGCTCTTATTGAATGAGCAGTAGCTAGCTAACTGCATTTAATTCCTTTATATTATATATTATAATATATTCCTCTGGTTCTTTAAATATTTTGCTATTATCTACACTTCTGTTTTGTTTACTAGTGTCAGCTAGCTAACGCAAACACTCTAGCTAGTTAGCTAGCTAGTTAGCTAGGTGAACCACGGTGAAAAACTGCAAAAGAACAGGTGTGCATCACTCTCTGTGGTCGTACTGTCATGAATATGTAAGTCTTCGCTGACTACCGTAGTCCGATCAAATGTTATTAGCGCCGAAAAGACGAATATCGAAAATAAAACTAACTTTACGGTGGTGCTAGGTGACTTATCAGACCTGTCTCAGGTGTCAGCATATCGATGACTCCTCATTTATGACAGACAGACCTTACCTTCTGTATTCCAGATAGGCATTCACTGCATCCACTGCAGTTTTGCCAGTGTATATCCTTTCCATTTGAACGTTTCGTGACTATAGTTAACGCTTAAGTTACCTCTCTAAGCTAGTGTTAGTGTGCGGAGGTATCGGTCCTCGTTGCTGGGCAACAAGCTCTGGCGTCTCCGTGACCTGAACCAGTGAAACAGTGAAGACCTACGACTGAACACGAAGCCGAAGTCAGCTGTTTATTCGTCAGTTTCTTCTTCGAATTTCCCCGTTGCACCTTAAATAGTGAAGCAAAGTGTAACTGCTATTTAACACATATGCCATTTTTTGGCATAACTGGAACTACGTTGTGAGATCATTTTTTTTATATTTGCGTAACTTTAAGTTTACTTATGAAATAAGACAATTGGTCTGGAAAATAAATCAAATGGAAACATTAAAACATTACGTTTCACGCCCCTTTGCCCCATTTAAAAAATCCAACCAGCATTAAAAATCATTAAAAGCAAACTGAACAAACTTAAAGTCATCAACGTTTTTGAATAATTGTATGTGAAAAAAAAATATTTTGCATCTTCATTTACAGCTTCAGATTCTAAATGATCAGAAAGCAACACTTGCTGCACTTTCAGTATGAGTGACGTATCAATCAGGCTGCCTTTAGTCATGCAGAGTTCAATGACGCCGTGCAGCGGTTTTCTTCCTTCAGAGGTGTAGCGCTGTTTTCTCGCTGTGTAATTCTCATCTCGATGCAGGCATTGTCTCCTCAAATGCAAGTGTTGTATGTAATTGGTAATTCTGCTCGACATATTCATCATGTTCAAGACTTGGGCTAAATACATTATTTGTCTTGTTTTTTTTTTATTTTAAGTTATAAAAGCACGGCAAACATTCAAGCGTTTCTCTATGTTGTAAATGTAGTACAACAGTGTGCACACCTTAAACGGTACATAGAATTACACCCTAGTCGGGATACATGCAAAATGAAATTTCACGTAAAAACAAGATTTTGAGTACGAAACCCCCTTTGTACCACAAGCATGTTGAACTCTGCACAGATGTCGAGAGGAAACTACAGCCATAAAAGTCTGTGAGGCGAGACGTTGCTGTTGTTTTGGTCTTCCTCTGGCCATGTCGACGGACCGTTTGTGACTACATGTTTTATGTGTTGTGTCGTCTTACTTTTCTGGTTATGCCGCTTTTACGAATCAGTTAGAAGTTATGGTGTTTTAACAGGAACCTCTCTGAAGCTAAGGACAGCTGCGCGGCGGCGCCCTTTGACGCTTTAAAGAAGAAGATGTGACAGACAGCAGGAGTCGGCGGCGGCAGATGTCAATGGGAGCATTCAGACCATTAAATACACTTCAGGTGAATATAGTTGATGGAAATATCAAACGGGGAAAACATTTTTTTGCGATTTCATGCTGCTGTTTTTTAGCGCTGTAAGCTAGTGAATACAACACATTACTGTTTTAAAGTTAGCTAGTTAGCTAGCTTGCTTACTGGTTAGCATCAGGTTTTTAACATACTGCATGCATACAGTCTAATATATAATTAGGCAAGTTGCTTTTCCCCTCTTTGCTTTTGTAATTTGACGATATTTAAGTAGACAAGGGCGTCTTAGAGACACGCCATGTACATTCAGGTTAATTTCATGAACTGTTAGGTCTACCCAAGAAGTAACTGTATTTTATGCAACCTGAGAAGTAGAGAAGCAGAAATGCTATAGCTATAGTTAGCTAGACCTCTTGCCTAAGGGTTAAAGCGATCACAGTTTTCAGCAGAGTGATTCTGTTAAAGGATAACTTCTGGACGTGATAGCTCATTTTTCCTCAGAGACCTAAAGACATGAGTAGAACAACAGCCAGTAACGGATGTCCGCATCTCTGTTTTTCACTGTTTCAGTTAAAAAGATTTACCTACCTATTTTCAGGTCTTGAGAAAGGTCTAGACTGGTCTATGATTTTCCACATTCGTATGAGTCAGTTTATGTGCTGAAATGCTAATTCAAGCAGTAAATCAGTCAACAGTGAAAATACCTTTTAGTTGTAAATCTTTTAGCACAAATCTAAACCTCTGTTTCTGGAAAACCTCTGTTCCTATTCAACATAAAAAAAAATGGTAACACCAGCCCTATACAACATTGAAGAAATGCTAGTTTACTTTAAACCACCAAAATCGAGCTTCAACTATTCAGGTATCTCTTGTTGTAAATAGAAGGAGAGTGTTGTTGGCTATACAACGTCCCCGCATTGCAGTCTGTGATAATACCTCTGACCAGGTCTCTTGGGTTACATGGTGGCAATCTCGATAATTTATTCAGGTTGGATCCCTAAAGCTCGTTAGATTAAGTTACAATAATTTTAGAACCAAATTAGTGTTTGTTGGTTAGGTTTTGGCAGAAGCCTGTATTTATGATGGTTTAACTTGTATTAGGCATTATGGATATAGTTTGAATTCATGTTTGTTACGCTGTGTCCAGTGTTTTCTGGTGGGAGTGAACTGACAAGGTCACTGTGGGGTCAGACTGTGTGAATGCGGTCGCATGTCTTTCTGCTGCATATTCAGTGTTATTCAGAAACACTGTTATTCACTGGTTATTGGCTAGATGAGAACACTAAGCTGAAATACCATTAAGGCGCTGTCTTACAAAGCCAGACACTCGTGATTTGCATTGTATGGTAGCCGGTAATGTGTGTATGCAAACTTAAAGTGATGTTTTGACCACAGATCAAACTTATACAGTTTTCCTCTTGCCCCAAATATAGTCAATCAGTACAGTGTCTGAAGTTTGTTTCTTTCGATTTACTCTGAAAATGTAAGGCTAACGTAGCTAACAAGTAATGGAAGATTATGCCCATCAGTCTGTCACCGTGAAAACTGCATGCCTAAATCATCACACATTTGACTCAAACTGTGTTGAGTTCTCAAATATACTTACATTGTTTCTGGGAGTCTATGACATACAGACATTTATGAAATGGTCAAAAATATGTAACATAAAACCAGTAGTAGCAGCCATATTGATTCTTGAACTTTGAATTTGTCAATATTTATACATATGTTTCAAAAACCACATTTGGTGGTTACTTGATGACTTGCACAGTGTGAGGCAGGTTCTCGAGTTAGCTGTTTAACCATATTTGGCAAATGGAAAAATTGTGTATATTTTTCACTGAATCATTGCTTTTAATCTTCAGCTTGTTACCACAATACACTGATACTGAATGCTTTAGTCTGAAGGACACCATTTCCAATTTATGAATGCTAATGCCAAGTATTGTGCTTTGTATGTATGCTTACCTTGTAGGCAATTGCTGAATGGACCAAGCTTGAGTTTGAGATCCCAAGACTGATCAGCTGACCAGAGTTGGCGGCTGTCCAAACTCCTCCAGCTCAGAGTCTGTCTAGTCCCAGTTAAAACACTTCCCTGGTACACTCACCAGTAGTGATCTTCTTTTTCATGAGCATTTTGCTTGCTGTAGTTATTACCTACAACCCCTTCCCTCATCCTTTTCCCCTTTCCCTGACCCTCCTCTTCTCAGCCTGTCCAAAACCTTCACCCGAAGTAGGACCCCTACACCTCTCTAGTTCCTGAACTCAAACTAAAAGTCCAACCACTTACCCCCAGCCTCCATCCTCAAAACATCCCTGGCACCCCCAGCCTGTTGGGCTGGCACTGGTGGCTCTGGGCCCCTGGCCGGGCTGCGTTTTAGGGATGCTGGCCTGTCTTCTGCGCAGGAGCATGTCTCAGAGGCTGAGTGTGTTACTGCTGCTCTTTGGCCTGGCCTGGTGCCTGCTCCTGCTCCACTACACCGTCACGCAGCCACGCCGCCAGAGTAGCGCCGAGCTACGGCAACAGATCCTGGAGCTCAGCCACCGCTATGTCAAAGCCCTCAGTGAGGAAAACCATGACCCCTCAAGGCCCCATGGTCCCTCTATGGCTGGATATGGTAAGCATAGTGAAAGTTAAAAGAAAGGGGTGGATGCACTGCCTGTCGACATTAGGGGACATGTAGCTCTTCAAAATATTTATAGGAAACGTTTTGTATTTTTTTGCAATTTTATATAGTTTGCTGAGAAGAGTATAAAACAAAACACTGTATTTCAGCTGTTGTATTATGCGATTGTCATTTATTCCTCAGTGAAGCACAGGTAATTTTCTGGATGTTGATTCTGTACATTAAGTTTCAGCCACTGAAAGTTTTCAGTTAAGAGAGGAAAAATGGCTGAAAATTTTGTCTGAAAAAAGCAAAATATTAAATAGGTCTACAGTGAAGTGAAATCTAACACTTAAGTAATCTGAATGACAATAAATATGAGAGTGATAAAAAAGCAGTTTGTTCCCTTTGCTGTCCTGCACTGGTCAACACAGATGTGTTCAAACAGTTTGGGCACCAGCAGATCATCAGTGAAACCCACAAACATGGTCCACTGCAGCTTAGATGCACCGTCTATGTAGTCTTTAGCTTACATGACTTTTTAACATTAGCTGATTTAATGAATTTTTAATGGGAATTACATAAATAATACAAAGGAACTCAATATCTTTTCATAAAAAACCCTGTTTTTTCATCTGGGTTTGAAAGTTACTGCAAACATGTGGGTTAGTTAGATCCTCATGGAGTCCATGGATGCTTCTCTTTTAATAACCCTCTTTAAATTCAGTCTGCTCGATGGGAGTTCCAAAACCACATCCACATACTTTGCATGAAAAAAAACAAAACAAAATGAGGTGTTATCGTTCAGCAGAATCGCTCTGGATCATCTTTAGATGCCTGTGGGGATAGTATTATTTTCATAATTTTACCACTTTTAATATTTAACCCAAATTAGAGTATTCCTCTGGCTCAAATTAAAGTAGTCCTCTGGCTCTTTCCCAGCAAGGCAGTTATTGCCTTTGAAGCATCATCAGCATAGACATGTAAACAAAATGGCAAATTATTTGTAAAAGAACATTTTGTCCTGAATTTTGTTTTCGATCAAGAATTTTCATTTCGGTGCATCTTTAATGACCAGTGCTCTCATCTCAGTGAAGGGGAGTTTAAAATTCAAGCCTGTCTCTGAATATCCTGTCCATCAGGGACACCTGTGTATGTGAAATGGCAGAAACGATGGTGAAAGTATTAAGGCTGGCTGAGCGGGTGTGTTTGAGTGGGGTGGGACGCTTGGAGAATTGAGCACAAAATCTTGTCCAATCACATGCTTTCTGTAAAAGGGAAATGCACCAAAACAGCAGAGATGTATTTAAGTATAAGCAATGTATATAAAGAATACTGTATAACTGACAAAGAAAAAATGCTGTTTTGTTTACTAGATGTCCTTTAATACAGATTAGCATGTTTCATTGTCAGTTTGCTGTCCAAAGTTTGCTTCTATAGATTTTCACTGGAGCTGTGAGGCAAATTTAGCTTACAAGTACATACCCTTGCCTCAAACCACATTGCTAAGGAATCTCAAACAGACTTATGTTGTTTCTGACACTGTGGTGAAACATTAGCTAAAAACAGTAGTAGCAACAATTGTAAAGCCTGAGTTGTGTCCATACTATTTTTTTTTTTTTTTTTATAGCGAACTGTATGTCCTAAAAAAAATCAGAAGCTATATATGCAAATCTGTTTGCGATTACTGAACAACTCGGCAAAGATTGAGGCAAGTGTGATTGTTCAGGCATGCACTTCGCACGGTGCTTAACTGGTTTCTATAAGCTTCCATTACTTATACAAGGTGATTCTAAAAGATTCATCCGATTTCAAAACGCCATATTTTTACAACCATGAGGCGCCTAGGAACCAATCAGATACCAATTGAAAGAGGGGGTCATAGAGCTCAGAGCATTCGTTGTTGGTTCCACAACACTGGATGATCTCCGAAATCACATTGAAAGGGCCGTGAGTACAGTTACACCCGACATGCTCAATCGAGTATTGGATGAATTTGACTATCGCGTTAACGTTGTCCGTACAGCTTGAGGAGGTCGTATTGAGCACTTGTAAAATTACATAAACTTTGTACTCACTTAAACCATTTACAATTTACTGCATTGTTCTGTTATGATTTACAAGTGACATGAATAATTTTGACATTGGATGGATCTTTTTGAATCACCCTGTACATTAGCCTTATAGCTCTAGTGCAAAACAAAAGAAACAGCATGACAGGCTGTTTGGCTACATTTCTCATGAAGGGAATAAGTGTAAACCTGATTTTTGACTGAACCATTGTTTTAACGTGGAAAGCTAAAAATGATCTTGCCATTTTTATTTGCCAGTACTGCCAAACCTTAGGAAGAGCTGTCATCATTTAGGCAAAACCTACTCTTCTTACCAAGGAAGACACTTCAGTGAACATGAAGCAGAGTGTTGCAAAATATGATTGTAATATTAGCAAATACCTGGTTATGCTAACAGAACATGTGCATGTATTTTGTTTTTACTTAATTACAAAGTAACAGTGAAAATTAAACATTATTTGCAGAATTTCAGATGAGGACAATATGTCTTTAAACTTTTGATAGGCAGTGTATTTACTAGGCAAAAGATGGTGTGATAAATCTTTTATGAAGTTATGAGTCCTGGGCCTTTAGGGTGTTAACATAAAACCGGTGTAAAAGTATGTTAGGCCAAGCTGTGACCTATATTGTGGCAATATAGTGCAGTTCTTTTCATCCCTTTATTCCAATCAGTGCATAAACTCTCAAGATATTTTGCAGTAAACCATCTGGTCACCACCAATAACACATCACAGTGGCATCTTTAAACATGTTGGGCACCCTGCGTGTCATGCTGTGGTTGGCCAGAAGTGTTGAGCTACTGCAAACTGTTTTTCTTTGCCAGAGAATCACTCGACTTGTCTATCAAGTTTTAGTGTGTACCAATGCAAACCTATTGCCTATTGACAGCTGCTCAGATGTTGGTCACAGAATGTATTACAAAGTGGTCAGAGCAGATTACTATAGGGTGTCTAAAAAGAGAATCATAAATGTGTTTATGGAACTTTTGTTGGGTGTTCTCAGGGTAACAATACTGGCTTAGGTCATGTGACCTTTTTCCACATATAACTAGGCCTGTCATAATTATTACATAATTGCCTGTAAGCTGTTTTAGCTGATCAAATTTTTTAAACTGACCGCAGCTTAAAGTTGTATGCAAAAGTTTGAACTTCCCCTGTCAAATTGTGTTTTGTTGTTAGTTAACACATCCTCTACAGGGAGCAAACTTAGTATGACATTTTCTGCATTATTTTAGTGCCAATTTCTATTACTGCTTGTGTTTAACATATTGGAAAAAAAAAAACTTGCACAGTTCACATTTTGTTTTTGTTTTTTCCAGTGTGTTAAATTCAGCAAATAAACAGTAATTGTGCCTTAAAATGTGCAGAAGCATGTTCTCTGTAGAGAATGTGTACTATTTTCTATCACAAAATGTTCTCCAACGTAGCAAATTAGCAGTTTGTGGGAAATGAGCAGGCATCTTTACCAAGGGTATTTCTGTCTTTAAAAATAACAGCATTATAAAACATTGAAATATGAGATGTATGTCAAATATGTTCAGTTCTTTTTTTTTTTTTTTATTTTGTTTTATTCCTGCAGCTGATCTCAAAAGGACCATTGCAGTCCTGCTGGACGACATTCTGAATCGTTTGGTAAAGTTGGAGGGCAGGGTGGATGCTGCGGTGAATGCTTCTGCGCACAACAGTTCTCACACTGCAGGGGGCGCTGTCCTCGCTGCAGCGGCCATTATGCACCGGCCCACCAAACAGGACAAACCTGGCAACCATCCAGACACACACAGTAACCAGCCCCAGTCACTGCCACGCCCTGGAAGTTAATGAGTGAAGGGAAGTTGGTGGTGGGGCCACGGACACGGTCGTTGCAACACACTTTTTTGCAACACTGTTGCTGACTTTGACGTATATAGATCTATATATTTTTTAGTATACAGCAGCTTTTTAATGTTGTGTGTGTTTCCTTTGAGCACATATGTTTTTTGGAATATGCACAGTAAGCTGCATAAAAGAGAAAAAAGGCACAGTCCTGCTTTTAAAGGATGGTTCTGATCAGGCAGTCAGTGAAACTTTACAATGGAAGAGCATTTCTGAAATCAGCAGTTCATCTGAATTTGCAATAACTGCATCACCTCATCTGCCTGCTAACTGAAATTGTGCACTTAGACGTAAATGACCTACAACTAATGAGAATAGCTTTGTCTTGTTAGCTGACCATTTAAATCTGTTTTCAATGATACATTGACTATACATATGCTGTGCTATTAGCTGTTCAACAGGGAGAGAACGTAAGCAAATCCAAAGAATATCATGTGTTCATTTAAAGCTTATTGCACGTTTGCCATTTATTGATGGTACATTTAATGCTATATTCTCAGTTCACTTTTGTATTATGGAGCTAAGGAGTTCAGTAGAATGTGACTGGCAAGATGTAGACCTGTATTAGGGTTAGGCATTATTAGGCTTAGGTTTCTTTAAAGGCCTGGTCATGGAATTGCCAAAAAACATACTTGTACATTGTAGTGGGAACTAGGCCTGCACAGGATAGAGATGATTAAAATGTTGCAATTGCACCATGCCCTGCAGTACATTGATGGCCCTTGACGCAACATGGTTAAAGATTGGCCTGCATTATTATGACCAAAGATATACACGTGTGCTGGTTCATGTGAATGCCTTTATTCATCCCAACACTTACATCTGAGCTTAGTCAGGATGCTCACAACACAATAAAATATGTGATGATGGGTTAAAATCTCATTAGCATAATGCAGCCTTCTGTGATATCAGTATTGTGAAGGCCAATATTACAATAACAACTAAGATGTACTTATTATTTATGATATATTGTGCAGCACTAGTAAAACAGTGTACCCACATTGTTGTTTTTTTGCTTATGGCCGCAGTACAAAACCAGTTAGTTGTCATCTGCCACTCGGGATTCCTGATCGGGGCTTTAAGGTTCCCTAGCGCTAGTGCACTCCTCACATCATGTGACTGTCACAGAGTAATAAACACATGCTGCGAGAGGTTGCGTGACCCTAAAGTCTTATTTAGGACTTGATGTGTTGTCTTTGCCTAATTCGAAGTGATAAGCCTCAGCTTTTCACTGTTTGATGTTTTTGAGTTTATATTTTATTTAAGCCCAAAATTTTTTTCATTGTTTCCAAAAAGTAGACCACTAACTGCTTTTGTGTGTCATTTTCATTTCTTTTTCTTTAAATCAAGCCACATGGATGCACAAGAAAAGAACATTTTTTTTTATCATTGACAAGAAGGTGCAATACAGTGGTATGCAAATGTTTGGGCACCCTTGATGTTCTTTTGATTTTCTAAGTGAAAACAAGTTAACATCCTCTACAGAGAACACACTTTGCAAATGCACGATTGTTTATTTTAATGCACAACTGTTTATTTGCTTAAATTAACATATTCAGGAGAAAATAACACACAAAATGTCTGTGCCAAAGTTATAGCGCATTTTATATTTTTTGGGTTATTTCTTCCAGTATACTAACCTCAGCAAATAAAAAGAAATTGTGCTGTAAAATTTGCATAAAAATGGCATATTTACGTTCTCTGTAGAGGATGTGTTTAACTTTATTTCAACGAAATATGTTATTTGACCAGGGGTGTTTAAATGTTTACCTATATACTCCTCTGCAGTGATGATCATAGTGACGTTGGACATTTCTTGTAATTCCGCAGATCAACTTTTAATGTATTGTTTAGTGTATGATTAGAAAACTATAATGTAGTACATGGCTTTAATAGACTAAATTGAAAATGTAACTGCTTGTGGCAGGACAAGTGCATTTAACTGTATATAAATTACTTAATTAAAATCTAGACATATTTTATATTTTTAAAAAGTCTGTACTCTCTTCTCTAGCCTAGTTAGAGAGATTCCTGTGGTGGTAAAGCTAAGGCAAGCTCATGAATTATTAGCTGGAAAATTGGCCAGTAAATTATGTCAAAATTGGAAATGCTGTTTTTAAAATCACATGGAGTCTTTGTGAAATATGTCCAGGAAAAATCTGAACAAAACTGGCATTACTGAAACCCAGCTTACTCAGACTTGCTTTATAGGGGCATTCGGGCCTAAAAATTTGTATTTAAATTAGTTATTTGTCATGTTATATATTCTGTAATGTGTCATTTCATACTTCTGGCTCAGCAGTTTGACAGAGCTTAGTTTTGTGTTTTCCCACTACAATGCTCAACATGCATTATGCAAATAGGTCTTGCAATTATTAGGAATCCCCCTCACAGTAATAAAGAAATCCATTAATGTACAGGCTAATAAATACAGATATGAAATTCAGCTTTCTAGCAATGACATTAACTATCTGACTTCCTTCTGCGTTAGCCAGCTAGCAAGACAAAAATGAATACACAAAAGATCCCACATGTATCCACCACAAAGCCCCTGTTTCTCCCACATTCAAGATGCATCATAAGATAGGTGGTTTCCTAATCTTTTCCTAATGTGGCACCACTGCAGGATGCAAGTAACAATCTTTACATATTTCATTTTGGCTTGAGTGTCTCTCTGAGCTACTGTGATAGAGTCAGGGCACGTTCGTGGTGACTTACTTTCAGTTCTTTTGCAAGCACAGCATCCTGTTCATATGTGGATTATGAAAGCAGTGTTTAAACAAAACTTCTGGATGCGGCCATGAACTTTTGAATGACGGTACTTCATTTAGCAGGTGACAAAGAGGACAGGACACTTTACTTGAGGCTTTGTACTCTGAGAAATTATGATTAATATGTGATGGAAATAATGTTGTGATGGTAGAAAACATCTGACCGGCCACATGAACCTTTCCAGAGTCTTACAGCAGTAACTACTCCAGTAAGGGCAGGCTGCAGCTAATACACTCATACCAGCTCGGTGCACACTTACATGGCACCACCATGGTATTTCATTTCTGTGCTAATAATGATCCACCACTTAATATCAGGTCAGCAGCGGTCCTGTGGTGGTCTCTTTGCACTGATGGACGGGGTAGAGGGCGAGGTTGATAAATGCAGCAACAAATACAGCTACAGTCAGTAATTGTATGCTTCTGGTGGGTGTTCCTGATAAAACAGCCAATGAGTGTAGCTACAAGGTAGACGTAACTAATAAAATGGTAAATCTGTGTACTGGCATTACAGCAGGTGGTGGATCCGCTTACAAGTAGTTTCAATTCTTGGGGGTTTGAATTATGAAGTGCTGAATTTTATAGGTTACAGCAAATTATAGAACAGTGCAGTCCCTACAGGAGTGGAGCTAGAAACAGCTGGAGGGCAATACTGATGTTAAAGCATCACCTACTGTTTGGATGTTACATTGCTGTACTAAGGCAAAGAACAGTAACTGCACATTGAATCAAACTGGACAAAATTAGTTGAAAGTTCTAACCACTGGTACATTAGTTACAGCACTTTGTTTTAATTTCCCAGCATTGATTTTCAGTAACTGTAAAAACAAGACCCCCGTTATCCCAGAAAACAAAGCAGGGGAGGATCATTTATATTATAATTATATTGATTATATTATTACATTTTAATTATTGGTGGAGTGGTGTGAGTGGAAGGTGAAAAATTATCATTTTGGTTCCTGTTATTATCATTTTGGTAATGTTATATATGTTATTAGAACTTAGGAGGCTTTGTAGAGGGGGGCAAAGCACAATACATTATACTGGAAACATACGGGAAAACAAGAACTTTGCTTTTAAATTATATGATATAAATAATTGTGGGACACAAACTAGCAAGGTCAGTTTTGATTTCAGGATGATTTTAAAAAGGCTTCTTTGGGTCATTTTACTTATGGTACACTGATTAAACTTCACATTACATATCGGTGCTGTCTGGACAAAACCTTTTATCTCAATTTTTGTCGTTTTTCATATTCTGACATCATTTGAAATTGCCAGCTGCACTGTGTCAGAACGTCATGATGATTGGACGAATAAAAATGGTCCAAAATTACTTGAAATAAATCATTTCTCCATCAACTTCCAATAAAAAGAAAAGAACGTTTATGTTCCCTCCCCTGTAAAGATACTTTTTGGAGGTTTTGTTCCGATAGCAACAATATACTTTTAATGTCTGTGATTCATGAAACTATAAACAGTTTATTTGATATAGGAAGTCTGTAAGTGTAGGATCTTAAATATATTAAAGAGCTTAAATCTTAAAGGGTCTTAAAAGACAGAGGCTGTACATAAAGAATGCTGCTTTTCACTCAATGGATAATAGACTATATGATCAGTTTGAAAAGTATATGCACATGCTGAACACAGAATCCTAACATTCTTCACTGATTTGCTCCTCTCCCTCATCCCTCCATTTTCACATTGATGAGACTGCATGAGGATAACGTTGTTTGGAAATGCCCCCTAGGGTTAGATGCCCCCATCCCCCAAACTGTCTCTCCTGAGCAAAATCAAATATCCATATCCACATTGAATGGCTATGCTCTAATGCTAAAAACTCATCTGAGTGATTGCATTCCTGGGATTTATTCCCCAGGACACTTTTTGAGGTCAGTTGATCAACTTTTTGACAATGAATTTTAGTGAGCTCTTCATTTTGTTTAAGTTGTAAAAGCATGATACAAGTATGTTTGTGGGACAGGTGGAGAAAGTTATTTGACATTTGGGCCAAGAAGGGACAAAATGCCCCTTTAGCAAGTTGCCCCCAAATATTACTTAGTTTGATTTTTATGATAAAGACACAGAGTGGTTCACTGGAGTTTCACTGACTAGCTAGCTACAGTGATCATTAGACACACTAAAAGGTTTAGCTAGAAATTAGTAAAGGTTTTTTTAAGCAAGCTTGCCAAAGGTGAGTTTGAATGTGAATTTTGAACTAGACAGTTAAAGCTGTACCCATTTTTTTGTATAATGTGTGCAAATCATTTGCACTGATTATTGAAATATTCAATATTATTGCTGTTTTTCTCACTATTACCTTTACTATTATTTTTATGAATGGTATTAGTAGTAAAGCTAATACACTACAGTAACTAATAAGCAATTTTTCAAAGTAGATGTTTCTATTTAATTGTGATTTGTCTTGGTGCAAAAGATAAATTATTTGACAAATTATACATTCTGTTGAAATCAGACTATTATCATTATTATTATTATTATTATTATTATTATTATTAGTGTTATTATTATTTTTATTATAAAGCTGTTTGAAGCTTGAGTCATTGTTTTTACATTAGCTTTAAGATAAAGTTTTGGCCTAAATTGTATGTTTTAAAAGTCATTCATAATGGAGAGGTACATGAAGGATGTTGTAAGATAAAATAGTCCCCAAAGAAAACCTTTTTCTTCTTTCATTTCAGATCTCATCATCAACATTACATATAAAAAAACTCTGAAAGGCACATGCAGGTTCATTGGTGTTGGATAATAAATAATATGTGTTTGGATAATAAATAATAATTGTGTTTGTGTTGCAGCCATTGCGACCTCTGGTTCCTATCACCACCACTGGTGAGAGAAATCTGAGTCAGTTGTTCTCTTAACAGTGAACTGTTTCACATTAAACAACTCTGAATTATTTTGTTTGTCTCAACGATTTAATGACAGACATTTTTTCTAAATCAGTGGAATTACGTTTTGTGGAGTGCAAGACTGTAAAGATTTTGAATAGTCTGTGAACAACCTGAATGCTTGCAACTGAACAGGGTTGCTGGTTTTTCTTACTTATTATTTTTTTTTTATTCATTCCGTCCTAATGCTTAATGATTAAAAGGTTTGCCTCAAAAGTTTCATAAGAGATTGTGGGAGACTAGGCGACTCTTTGGGCAACATAAAAGTGCTAGAGAGGAAGCATAAAAAAATATGCAAAATAGTTTCATATTCTTGGTACACGGTATGACTTGATTCACTAACTGAATTTTTAAGGCTTGCAGCACCTGTAAAACACTGGCTTAATGTCTCTCCACAACCCTTTAGCTCCTTTTGTCCGTTTTGGACTGTCGAGTTTTCTGTTCATTATTTTAATAACGGAGAACGAATGACGGCTGGAGTTATATTTGTATGATATCTCCATAGTGTTCTGTTTTAATGTAAAACAGGGGGCATGTAGACAGTACAGATATAATCCTTGTATTATCAGACAGGAGATGTTTGGTTTTTGACACGCCCTCATATCCGGCTAAACAGCGGGAACCATTTTCTGCTAACGCTGCTTCTTCCAACGTAACCAAACGGAGAGAAACAGTAAACGCTAGCAGCTAAAACACATAGCTAGCTACCACTTTTTGTGTACCAATACTGATTAAGTGCTCAGTTTTTTAGGATGAGTGACATCGAGGACGGGAACTTTGAGGGTAGAGTAAGTAGCCTTGCGTTATTATTGCGTACATATTCAACCATTTTACTTCTTTACCCCTTTCTCACGCTCAGCCCTCCTTATTTCACCCTGTCCTCTTGCTGTTTAGGTTTAGCTAGGTATTGCTAACCGATGTTGTCAAGCTTTAATAGTTAACGTCATTGTACAGCACAAGTTAAGTCATTAAATAGCATCATTTATCTCCATTAGCTTTGTCTTTAAGACATTTTCTCCATCCGAATGGAGCAGTGCGCAGTGAGCGAGGTTAGCCAGTTAGCTAGTTAGCTAGCTTGCTTATTAGCTCAGATGCTAGGTAGACCAGTGGGATTTTGCCTCATGAGAGAGCTAGGTAGACCAGTGGGATTTTGCCTCATGAGAGAGTGACTTGTTGGACAGTTAACGACATAATTCCCATTATGTTGAACACATTTGTTTGAATGTAAGTTAGAGAGATAACTGGTAAATTCGTGACTCTAGCGAGATAAACGGGTAACCATATTTAGCTTTAGCCAGCTAGCTAGCTAACTGTAATGTTAACGTTAGCTAGGTCGGTTTTGTTTGTGCCCGAACTGCAGGTTTCTGTTTCATTTCTGGAAGACCGCAGTTAGTTAGCTAGCTAGTGTGTTAACCTAGTTAGCTGAGAGTTTAACTTAATGCGACATGTTAATGTTCATTTATGAAGAATTGTGTGAAATTAGTGGAGTTTCACTTTAAGTACGAAAGAATTAGAAGGTGCTTCTGAAAAGAAATGTATCTTAATAGTAGTCTGTTTACAGTATGATTATTATTAGTAGTATCTTCAGTTTATTTATTTATTTGACAGGACAATGTTGTAGCCTTACAGATTTTTTTTTACCTTGACTCCAACTGTTTTTCAGAACTTGCTGGTTAATATTAACGCAGCTTAGTTTGTTTTACCTGCATCAGCGTTATCTATCTAAACTATTAAAATCTGCCAATATTTTAGTTATTTCTCTAGCTGCATCTTTCTCAGCAGTGTAGCTAGCCACCTCTCTAGCTCACATTTTTTAGATTATATTCAGTTAGATTAATTCTTATGAAACTTACACCTAATGTGTAAATCCACCTAAAGTCAGCAAGTTTTCTGCCGTTTGTCTGCTGCTTCTAAGCTCTTTCCGATTTCTCTCAAGGCTTTTTCTTACCCTTAACTACCTTAACTGGATGTGAATGTTGATTAATTCATAACTTTATTTAATGTATTTATTAGGATGCTTAATCATTTAGTTTGTGTGAATTACACTATGTAAATGTGTTTGAGGAGGAGTTTAAGAGCTGAGTAGTTCAGGACTCCATTTTCCAAATCTCCCATGATCTTAATTGCTCTGAATGTTCTTTTTTCATTAAGGTTATTGGTCGTGAAGGAGTTGAAGAGTTAAGGCCAAGAATGTGGAAGAATATCCAAGATAAAAGAAGGCTTTTGAAAATGTGTACAGAGCAGACGGTTAAATGGGAAGGGGAAAAAAGAACGGAAGATCGAGTCAGATAGAAGCACACTCGCGTTATGTGTCTAAGCAGGAAAAGAGGTTTCAAATTGGGTGAAGAAATGAAAAGGAAGGAGAGGAAAAATGAAAACTGAACAAATGAAGACTGAAGAACGATAAAATGCCTGAAAGAAAGGAATAGCGTTAAAAGAACACAGAAGAATGAATGTGTCCATAGGTTAAGTAAACGTCCAGTGTATGTTCCAAGTGTCTGTAAAAACACCCTGTTTATTGTTGATGAATTGCATGTTGACTGTAATTTGGTGATCCAGAACAAGAAATAATAAGGTGTTAAAAATGTTAAATTTGATTTGTTAATTTTATTAATGACATTAAAATATAAAAAGTTAATTTTTTCAGAATGATTCTAACAGTTTTCTCCACAGCTGTAAAGTGTATGTATATATGTGTATATGTGAGTGCAAGTGGGTGTAAAAGGCAGACTGGATTGTAACACTCTGTAAATGGTGCAACTTCATTACTGTAACGCTAGGATTCCCGCTCACCTTCCAAGTCGGAACGGGGCAGCCTGGTCCATGCTAAGTCCGACAGCAGATCGGGCTCTCCCAGCCCATCCCGAGCTTCCAAGCGTTCAGAATCCAGATCCCGCTCCCGCTCCAAGTCCAGGTCAGTCAAAGCAGAAAAAAAGTGCTATTTATGGACTTGTAGATTGTTGTACTCTGAATTCAAAGACAGAAAAATAATGTAATAGATTTTGTGACATAAAGAGCGTAGTTGCTTAATTTAATGGTTGTCTTCCACTCTAACCAACAGATCTCACTCTCACCGACACTCCAACCGCCGTTACAGTCGCTCCCGCTCTCACTCCCACCGGAAGAAGTCCCGCTCCCGCTCCTACAGCCCAGACTATAGACGGAGGAGAAGCCAGAGCACATCACCCATGTCAAACCGTCGACGCCACACAGGCAGTCGGGTGAGTGTGAAAACTAGACAAAGAGATCCCAACTGCTGTTAGATTATTGGTCCCAATAAACTAGTTATTCCTAAACTCTAACCATTAAGAGCAGAAACATTTCTCTCTCGCATAGCGAAATGCAACTCTGGATCTGTTGTTAATGTAAATAGGAAATCCTCTTGCCCAAACACATCCTGAGTACAGATAAAAGTAAAATAAAATCACAGAGAGGTGTGTTGTTTTTATTTATACTGTTTAGCACATGTTTATGCCAGTATTTGTTTTTTGGCATCAGGTAAGAAATTACAGTAATTGCAGAAACATACTTCTGGCATAACATGTACACCTTTGTGCACCTTGCCACATGAGCAGCCGTTTATAGAAACTCTGTTTGTAGGGTTGCCACAATCATTGTCTTAAATAATTGCAGTGGACACTTTGTCTTTTCTTATTAATTGTTTGCATCTATTAAAGTGCCCCAGGTAGCTTTTTAGCCATCTTGCTTCATAGCTGTGTTTACTTAATTCCTGACACTGATGATAATGTTGATTTTCACACAAATGTCTGTGACACAGAATCATGTGCAGTCAGAAAAAGCTTTTTTTTCCTCATAGAGCTAAAATACAGGCAAAAAATCCATCTGCTAGCATATGTACTTAAAGCATTAGCATTAGTTACATAATTAACAAATAAACAAATATTGTGCTACCTCTAAATATCTTAGAGTGCCAAGAATCCCTTGATGGTTCCGTAAGTGTATTTACTGATTTCTGACTTCTGTTGGTTTTAGAAGTATTATTCAAATTGGCACTTTTCATTGTAGTGATGGGAGCTATAAACTGATGTGATGAAATCACTGGCAGTCTCTTTCTGTGACCCCTTTAAAGAAGAAGTTTGTTCTTTGTTCTCATGGAAATTACTTCAATTTATGAAGTACCAAAATAGAAAATTTGTCAGAATGAAACCAAACTGAGAACAGCTGATGATGCATGTTCTGTTGCAACATTTTAAGAAATTAATGTTCCTTTTTTTTTCTTTTCATCACTATGTACTGTTGGACCTTGTGTAAGCTGTCCAATACATGTTTCATGTATTGGACAGCTTAGAAAAATTGGCCTTTCTTAAAAAAAAAAAATCAGTCTTTGTTCAGTGACTGCAGTTTACCATCACAGAAATGTAGACAGGGCTTCATACCAAAATACTCTGTTAGGGTGTCATCCTGAGTTCAAGTTTATGTAGAGTAAAAGTCTATTTTTTTGTATTGCTTTTAATGACCGTTTATTTTACAGTGAAACCATGCAGTGTGAGGCCATTGGTAAGCTGTTTTGTGAGGGATTGTTATCCCTCAGTGCTTGTTACCCCACCAGTGTCCTTGCCCTTTACAACAGCACCAAGATCAGCATGAGTGTTTAATAACCCCTTTTACTTCCCTCTGATTATATCAACAGAGCACATACAGCCATGACTTCAAAAATGATTCGGTCAGTCATGGTGATGCCAGGGTACGTGAACCTTTTATTAACCTTTTGAATGTTAGCACTAGACCAAACTGGTCTCAGTGTTGCAGTGTTATCTGTAATGGGGGATAAGAGGTTCTTTACATAACTTCATTCATCTGTGTGTCCCACAACAGTAAATTAGTTGTCATGAGGGAAGACTGAGACACGTTGTCACTGCCAAATATTATATGGACCTTAAAAAGGGGGTTTGTTCTTGTCACTCACAGAACCTGCCCTACTAACTACGCCTTTGTAATGTTGGGTCAGAATATCTCAAAATGCCTCATTACAGTAATCTTGGCTGAGATCTGCATATGTTTTGCTATGCAGGCTGCCTAAGACTGAAGTCAACATAACTCCTTCAGAAATTATATTTTACTAAATCTGAAGGGGTTATTAAATGCTGTTAGTTTTATCAGAGAAGTTTAAATAATAGCAGTTTACATGCCAGTCCACCAGGGGGAGTAATGTGGTGTGTAATCACAAATTGCTCATATAGAGTATCATGAAATTAGAGGGAAATTTCACTGTTCTTAAAAAGAAAAAAAAAAAAATTCACAGAAGTGATCGGAACCAGACGAAGTGTTTAACTTCTCTAAGAGCTACACCACAAAGTTATATGAAATGTTTACAGATATGCTGATTGATGCCTGAGTTAGTTCGTTGATAAGGTTTTGATCTAAAACATATACATTTTTTTAAAATCCATTAGGATGGAGAGGTACATAAAGGTGTTGTGAGGCAAAATATGTCCCAAAGACAACTTTTCCCCCCAGATGTACCACTGTTTGGCCATTATATTACATATACAACATTTTATATAAATATGTAAACATGTAGATTCGCTGGGCATTTTTGATTTGTATTGTTGATATTGCCTCCCCTGGTTCCTGTCACCACTACTGTAAGGAAATCTGTGTCCATAGATTTCTTTAATATGCACCATTTCGCACAAATTACTTCTGTCTAAACAATTGAATTATGAAGGTGAATTTTGAAAAATCAGTGGAATTCCCCTGTAAGTATTACCTTCTGGCTGGGAATCAAAATGATTAAAATGATTGTGTGATGGGTATTCCTGAATTTTGACACGCATCTTTGTTTCCCCATTTGCTTTAATTATTACACTGATGTTAAACAAAACTACAATTCTAATTTGGTAGTTTTGCTGGAAATAAATTTTGTTCAAAGTCTGTGTATTCTATTTAGATTATCTACTGTAGTGACAGAATTCTCATAGCTTGAATTGCTGGACGAACTGAAAGTCAGCTAGATCAGGACTTTAGTGTCCAAGTAAATGGTAAAACTGGCCCGGGCCTCATAATTCGTTATCTCAGCATTGCTAGTAAGACTTAAGCAAACTTTCCAGAAATATAGAGTTTTATTTTCATTTATTAACATCAGTTTATTGCACAGCTAGGACATCCTGTTTATTAAAAACAATAATTAGCTATGTAGAACTATGTATTTTCTGTCTTTGTAATGTTTTTCTGTCTTCTTCACACAGGCAAATCCAGACCCCAACACATGTCTGGGTGTGTTTGGCCTAAGTCTGTACACCACAGAGAGGGATTTGAGAGAAGTGTTCTCCCGCTATGGCCCACTTACAGGAGTCAATGTAGTCTATGACCAGCGCACCGGCCGCTCCCGAGGATTTGCTTTTGTCTATTTTGAACGCATTGATGATGCCAAAGAGGTATAGCTATATAGCTATGGCTTTGAGCACTGACTGGATGTTCCTTCCTGATAAAGGGCCCATATCAAAGAAAATTAAATGTTGCCTCATTATTTATTATTATTTTTTTTTTTGAGAGTTCAATGTTACGTGTAAACACTGATAAAGTTTCAAAACTTGACGTTCACTCCTCAGTTCATACAGCTGGAAAAAACAGCAGAATCTTGAATTCATTGTTTGTGGTGTCATGAAAACCAACACATTTACATATACCTGCAGTTTAGCCCTGCCCATTCACACTAAAGTCAAATACAGGGCAGGCACTCAGAGCAGAGCTCATTTTGCATCTATTAGTCTTAAAGGCACAACAGCCCATTTTAATTGTAAGGGCTACAGAGAGGTTAGAAAGTGGCTGTGTAAACACTAATTACCATTTTTTGGTACATAAACCCACACAGTGGCATGAATGGAGCTCATGAAGAAAAATAAAATGCAAGAAAAATGTAGGATATGGGCCCTTCAAAATACCTTGTTTTGTTTTCTTGATCATCTTCATTGTCTAGTCTTTTTGGCCATTGTGCACCATATAATGTTCTTGAAGGAATGTCATTTTGTCCCTTTGCCACAGGCTATGGAGAGAGCCAACGGGATGGAGCTGGATGGTAGACGCATCAGAGTGGACTACTCAATCACCAAAAGGCCACACACCCCTACGCCCGGAATCTACATGGGCCGTCCCACACAGTGAGTAATATCATACAGACTTGCTTGCACAGATGTTGATCAAAAACAGTTATTTGGAAGGGTTGTTTTCCTTTAGTCAATTTGTAGATGAAACCTTGTTTATATTTTTAATATACTTTTGCTTTCATGTTGCAGTAATGGAGGAGGGGGGAGCAGCAGCAGCGGTGGCCGCAGAAGAGACTCATTTTATGACCGTGGCTATGACAGATATGACAGATATGATGAGTACGATTATAGATACAGGTAAAAAAAAAACATAAGCTTCATACGTATCACACCAGATTCATAATCAGAAAATAGAGGTGATGCTTTCAGGTAGTACATTAAACTTGTTTCCCATGCTCAGCGATGCTGAGATCTTAAGAGCATGATGCAGAACTGCAGTGATGCTATCAATGTTTTAATTAGCTACATGTGATGACCTGCCAGAATGGTGCTCAACTTGCTGTGTTGCAGAGGACGTTAAATGGCCATAAACTGTTGCCCCACAGTAGGCCTTTGTAGTGTGGTCATACATTTGTGTCACAGTACAATGAAATTGTGATAATTGAAATAAGTGATAATAATCCAAGCATATTATGTAGCTATTATTGTTAGTTTCCTACAGTGCTGTTTACAAGATGAGTGCCTTCATTGGCTGATGGATTTCTGTACATGGCAAAAGTGACCTAATCACTTGCCCATTAATCCCATCAACAGTTCCTCTTCAGAAAACAGAAAGCAGAGCTCCAAACCCACAATAGCAAAGCACGGATTGTTGTCCATGGTTTGTGTTTAACTTTTACGCAGTGTTCTTGTTCGTATTCTGATGTTCAACATCAATGTGAATTGATGTGAAACACTTGCATACAGCACATTTGTACTTCAAGTCAATTTTTTTGCTGTTTGCCATGAGCAGCGTGGTAATGGTTTATAGTTAGAAACACTACAAACTACACCTATCATGCTATATTGGGCAGCTGAAGCCCATACTCAGAACAGCACTTTGGCTATAATTCAACTTTCCACCTCCCTTTGATAACCAACAGTGCCCACCAAACAAAATTTTTGAGGGGAGACACTGCTAGTGTTCTGTTTTGTGTCAGATCTCACCTTAAGATATAGAAATAACAGCCCAACTGCTGGATAATATTGCACCCCTGCACTAACACTATAGTAAGGAGGTTATTTCAGTACCGTATTTTATTTTAGAAGTACACATTTCACAAAAGTTAACCACTAAAATTATTGTAAACTGGAAAAATATTTTTCAAGGAAAATCATTGGACTGTGTTCTGTCTCTTTAAATGTGCCAATTTTAATATGATCCACTGAATCTGACTAACCTTGAAAAGGTCACCATACTTTAATATCTATTTAATTAAGAAATTCATCTTCACATCTTCATTGTGACTGCTAAATCGGTAACACTACTTTTTGTAGGGGCTTATTTTAAGGATGGGCTACATGGGTGGTCTTAAAGGTTATGTAGGACTTTTTACTGATCTGTAAAAGATATTGCAACTAACCAGATGCCACTATGTTCAGCTTCAAAGTAAGTATTTCCTGTAACTGATTCCTACTACTGTGACCCAGTTTGACTCTACAGTGTCAGTAGTTCTCTGCATTGAATTGGACAAAATTAGGTGCTTCAAGCCTAAAGTAATATTAAATAATAGTTAGATATTTAATGGGTAAATTACCTCGGCAGTAAACAGGCACCTGGATTTTGACTAACTTGCTGCAAAGTTGTCAGTGATGTTCTGTGATTCCTCTGCCATTAGACGAGGTTTGTTTAAAAAAAACAAAAAAACAAAAAAAAACATTAAAAGTTGGACTGCTTATGACAACATGGATTGTTGAATCATGACAAATTCTGTTTTATTTTTTTTCCCCCCAGCAGAAGGCGTTCTCCATCACCTTACTACAGTCGTTACAGGTCTCGTTCACGATCTCGCTCCTACAGCCCACGTAAGTATGAGCAATGACACAAGCTCAGTCTTTTTAATTTTATTTATTTATTTTTTAATAAAAACATGCTGAGCCTACACCAGAGGTATTCAACTCTGGTGCCCAGCACTTTTTGGTGATTTTCTCCTTTCCCTGCTCAAATACCAAATTAAACTCGTCTGCTAAGTGCCACGAAAGTGTTTGAGTAAAGCTGGGTCTATGTTACACAACGTTTCTAAAACAGAACATCACCCGCTTAACATTAGTTTTCTACAGAATGTTTTGTCTTTTTCATGTGAGGGTGAGCAAAATTTAGACAATAAGGCAAAAAGAGGGTTTAACACAGGAGTTTTGGCTCCAAAAAAACATTTGAATCTCCCCTATTATGTGATACTAACAAAGCTAAACTGGACCGGTTTGTGTTTTTATGCACACACAAGAAGTGTAGCGCAAACCAAGGATGAATATGTGGTTGATAAACGCAGATACCACAGTGTGAGCTGGAGAAATATTTTGCTGCAAACTGGCAACTTGAATTTGTAAAGAGTGACAGGACGTCTGGGTCCATACCAACACGATTCAACAAATACCTTTCTCTCTCTCTCTCTCTCTCTCTCTCTCTATCTATCTCTATCTCTTTCTCTCTGCAGCGTGTATGTCTCTTTGCCTCTTTTTTTTTTTCCTCACTCCTGTCTTTCTCATTGGCTGTTGCCTGAACCTCTCCTTCAGTTACATCACTGAACATCTTGCACTGCGGGACTCCTGAGTCGTAAAAATAAAATACATTTAAAAATATCGGAAGGCCTCCGATCACTCAGAACTCAATGTCAAGAACCCTTATTATAGAAAACAAAATTATCTCTTTTTTTGAAATAAAAAGGTTTGATGTAGTATGTAAACAGTGTTAAAGTTTAAGAATGAACCATTGACTACCCAGTGCATATAGTCCATATATGTAGACTAAGCTGTTTTGTGATGTCATTAAAACCATTGCTTTTCATATATCTGCTTATTTGGCCTGCAAATTTTTAGCCCTGCTCATTCACACTATTCAGCCCAGACTGCTTTTCGAATGAGGTGCAATATAGGCTAGCTAATTGGAACATAGCTCATTTACATATCAGTCTTAAAGGTGCTAAACTGAAATGACTTGTTTAATTCTAAAGGATAAAAAGAAGTTACAAAAATGTTGTGTAAAAATAAATTATAGCTTTTTGCTACATAAAATCACACAAATGTAAGGGGACTTCAGAGGAAAAAATAAAGTTCAAGAAAAATGCAGACCCTTTAACTCGTTCGCCCTCTCGCATGACCAGATCATACTTGCATCGCTCACTTCCGACCGAGCTCCGACCCTGGAAAATTGCTTTAGATTGTGAAAATTTGTCGGGCAAATCGGGGTTAAAATCAGGTAAAATCGTGCAGTGCCGGCCCAGCTTGTGGGTATTGCAAAACTGCAGGACTGGAGTTGAACACCCCTGGCATCATTAACATTCTTAAGAATCTGACACAATAGTTTCATTAGTGAATTACGTCGGCTCTTTACCCAATAAACTGCACAATTACACATGACATGAGAGTATGTGTGAAGGACAGCAGGTATCTGATTAACAATTGTAATCTCTCAGAGATGCCCTTTGGAAGTTTGTTTGGTCTGCGGCTAATGTCCAGTGTTTCTTCTCTCCACAGGACGGTACTGAGATCACAAACCCCTGTTGTGTTTCATCAGCCTGGATCTGTGAAGGTTAAAAGAAGCTATTACATATCTAACTCTGCTTGGAGGTGGAAGAAACATTGGTTTAAACAGAGCAGCTCTATTTAGAGAAAAAAAAGACTTGTTTCTGTTTAATAGGTGTCTTAATTTGTACTTTCCAGTGATAAAATAATGACTTTGGAGGTCCTGGGCATAGTCATGGCATTTTTCTATTGTGTGTGTGTGTGTGTGTATGTAAGTATGTAAGTATGTATGTAAAATATAGATGGTTATGAACAGCTGTGAATGAGTTTATGTGTGTTGTATTCAGTGTGTATTTACAAGTATGTGTGTTAAGACAAGTGAGAATGTATTCAACGTTATAACAGTACGCTTAAACCTTCTGTTGTGTGACAACACCTACCATTGTACTTTTTCAAGGATTAAAAATAACTGGAGTCCTTGTATCTGTCTGTTAGTTTCACATCCATAGCTTTCAAAGTTTTATATTGTTACCAGATTACAAGGTAAATACTAAAGAAGTGCCTCAGAACCTGCAGTGTGGAGCAGTTTTTTGATACTGTGATAGCTGAGATTTTAAACCTTTTTTTAATCTGCTTGATCTTTACCATATATTGTGTTAGTAATCTCATACAATAGATGTGTAAGAAAGCCTTCTGTCATAGCTCTAATACATGCTATGAATTCAGCAGTATCAAGAACCAAACCAAACAATTAAGATCACTTTCTAGTCCTCACCTGTCCTGCTTTCATAAAACCTTGTTTCTCCTTAATTGAAATGTATTAATGTAACAAGCCTTTTTAACATAGATGAATGGTAGTTAAATAGGTTTCAATTTGACAGCAGTGAGAGAAGCATGCAATTCCAGGTATGTTTAATTACAGCAAAAGAGATTGTCCAGCAGAGCAGGTGTTCTCACCTCCATTCCTGAGGACACTCTGTCCTGCACATATTCAAACCTTCTCTGCCAAACACACCTAACCAGCTGTCAGTCATGTAGGGCACGATGAGAGGCGGAGCTGGACTGTATGTTGGGGCAGGGAGTACTCGCAACTGCAGAGCTGTAGACTAGTGCATCGGGTCAGCTTGTGATGGCTATGTCATCATGGATTAGCAAAATCTTGCTACTGAAATTGAACAGAATTGGGGCAGAGTCATTCTAATGATGCTGAGACTGATCTTTTGTCTTCTAGAGTGATGTTTTATATTTTATAACCTCTTGTATGATACGCTATGAGTCACTCATTCCTGTAACAAGTTGGTTCTTCTGAATGTGGAACACAGATTTTGGATTACCAAATCAGATTTTCTATTTGGTTTATCTCCCAAGCACCACCACACCTCTGACCGTGTAGGTCTGCTGAAGGTAGTGTTGACTTTACATAGAGGTCTCCTAATGGTCTTTTCAGAATCTGTATCAACTGATAGTTACAGCATTGGATATTCCAACACACATACAAGGCACACCGTTGGATTTATATTATATTAAAGTGATATTTTGTAGACATATGCATTGACTTGTAGGTGATCTGGGCTTGGAGTGTGTAAGACAGATGTAATGGCCTTTTAAGGGTTTTTGACGATTGGGAAGTGTCGACAAAGTGCTCATGGGCTTGAGCCCATGGGTTTATCATGTTACATCAGATTGTTGATATCACTAATCATATCATAGAGTTCTTACCCAGTAACACAGTCACCACAGAGATGAAGCACAATTCAGCCATTTAAGTGTTACTTTTGCCAACAAAATGAATGGCTCATTGCTGCCAACAGGCAAAGCTTTGGCCAACCAAATACACACTCTGTTAAGCCAAGAGGAAACGTTATCAAACTTAAATAGAGCATACAGACAACTTCTTCAGCAGTCCGATTGTGAAGTCTTCTCAACTTTGCTAGCGGAGACAAAGAGAAAACACCTACATCACTGAGCAGAACGACTCATATTCTACACAGAGATGGCACCACAATATGCAAAAACCATAGTATGTTCTACTGTAACCTTCATATTAAGATCCATAGACATCACACATGGACAGGCTCATGTTGTCTTTTCTGTTGTTACTTCTGAAGTGGGACAGAAACCAATATTTAAAAAGTTGTTAGGCATACAGATACAACAGATTTGTACTTATATCAGTTTCAATTGTCAATGGTAATAACAATATCACTCTATGTAGGCACTGAATTTTACAAACACTTTCAAGAATTTTCTTTTTTTCATGATTTATGTTATTTTTTCCAAAAACTCATTATATTCAGAGGGGTTACAAATGGACAGAAATGCAAAGTTGCTCTGAGAAAAGCTTATATACAGCAATACAAACTTAAAACTGGGTAAACAAAGCACACCTACTATTACACTTATAATATTGATGTCATTTACATGTTAAGATTAAAACACAAAAATAATATACATGTTCAGTATAGTGATTCAGTTTTGTCACATATTATAATGTCATTTTTTTCTTTCTATTGTGGCACTGAAAATTCTTAGTCTGATCTGCATACTGTTACAAATATGTTAGCAAAATACCCCAATAATGATTAAAATGATACGAAGGAAAATTAAGGACTATTAATAACTGTTATGGCATAAGTTAACAAACGTCATCATAGTAAAGAAGTGTTGAAAACGATTCCAGGGAGGTTACTGCTCCTTTCGTTTTGTCATTACTGACTATAACTAAGTGAAACAACCATCTGTTTTGGCTTTAATTAGAGTTTTAAACTGATATTGACAGTTCTTTGTAATTCAGCTGTGTTCAACCTTTCCACGACCCCCAAAATGAGCTCACATAATTCCAAAAAGTGGAGGCGGCATGTCCTGCCATCATCCCCCCCAATATACTAGCTCTTACCAAGTAATTGTTCCTCTCATCCTCAGCCAGAATATAGTGAATGTGCAACATATTATTTTATTTTTCAGGAGATATTTCTGAAAAGATTAGCCATGAGATTAGATATCCAGTTTCTAAAACTTCAACTTGTAGTTCAAAAGATGATTAAAATATATTGAGCAAAAGGGACTCCTAACAACCATGCAAGACCTGGTAGACCACCAAAACTATCACCTTCAGACAATCAGTTCTTAAAGCTTTCTTCTTTGAGAGAGGGGAAAATCAAGCTCAACTCTTGCTTCAGATCTGAAAAAATCTGAAATACAACTTCTAAAACTTAATTTTAAAGGTGTGAAAAAATATTCCTGCAGATTTCTTTGAAAAACTGAAAGCCAGTCTCCTGAAAAGAATGGACGCAGTAATAAAAGTAAAGGGTGGACACACTAAATACTGAAACATTTGAAATTATATTTAGTTGTTGAGGCTTCTGTGTAATTTTCTTTTTTTTTCCTGACCGAGAAAAAGTAATAACTTGTATTTAATGGCAGCTTTGACAGGAAATTAAATAAATGCTCTGATTTTGCATAGTACTGTAGGTGCCTATTAGGCTCCCATACTGCATACAATCAGTGATGAGCTGTAATAAACATATTTTAACACTATGCTGTATTGAGACGTTACATGACTTGACTGTAGCATGTCTTGTACGAGCTGCAAACAGTGTCAGTCTTTGCTGCTCCTATCATTTAAAAGCTTTTCTGACAGAAGAGCAGGTGTTAGCCACATATTCTGCATAAATATATATGAATGTATAGAAAGCTAAAGCATGAAATGATGTAACGGAGCTGCTGGGCATAATTTAAGAAATTAGCCATGAACCACTTAAAACATGGTCCTTATCAAATAAACAAATCTATGTTCTACCCCTGTACACACCTGCATGCAGTAGTCAGCGTTCTCTGTGGACTCATCACTAGGCAGGTTGTTGTCAACTGGGGAGATGTATCTGCCCCCACTCAAGGTATACTTGAGCTTTATTTATGAATGACTGCATATATAGTACTTACATATTCATGTACATAATCATAGAAATGTTCAGTTAAAGCCATAGTTCATGAAGTAGTTCATGAAGAAGGAACAACTTACAGACACTGTTACGGTCAACTAAGCTCACAGTGCAAACATACTGCATCTCAAAAATGGTTGTATTTGGTATAGCAGTTCGTTAGGTATAACTATAATGTAAATCTGTTTCTGCACTCTGAGTACATTCCAGTATGGCCCAGTGGTCTACATGCTTGTGGTAATCTTCTTATATTCCGATAACATCATCATCTACAAATTTTCACAGCAATCAGACAGATGTTTCTCAAGATTCACTATGAAAACCAGAAAAGTACATAGCCAACCCACAGTGAGAGCTTCCCAGCCTAAAGTACAGCCTCCACACAGTGAGGTTAGTCATAACACAGTATTCCATCATGTTAAAACTAACCCCGCTGTGTGGAGGCTGTTCTTTAGCCTGGGTAGCTCTCACTCAGGGTTGGCTATATGATTCAAAACAGTGCTTTAACAGTGCTAAACTCCTCCAGGTAAACAATGAGGGCTGGATTTCCCAAAAGCTTTTGAGAGGCTGTTTACACCATGCATCAACATTTAGTGATCGGTTTTCGGTGATCCGATTACTTTTGGATTTCACTTGACTGCATGAAAAGCCAGGTGTAAACACGTCCAGTACACACTGTGATCATGGATTACAATCAGATCACTCAAATCACATTCAGTGGTAAGTGGTAAGAGCCGGATCTTGACTGCATTTAACACTGCATTTAAGTGTAAACGGAATTATTTTCAATATCTGTATACAATTATGTGAGCGGAAACATGTCTGCTGAGCGCTGACTAGCAGTCAACAGAATAAACAATGAAATGAAAGATTAAGGATTTGTGAGGCTGACGGTCCCCAAACCAAGTTCCTTCTTGCTCTCGGGGCTGATAAAAGTGTCCAAGCCAAGCTTGTCCACTCATATGCTCCATATAAATTCAAAACAGTTCATTTTTTGATCTTTAATTTATGAATTTTGCAAATATGTACTGTAGATGTCATGTAAATATATTTCAGTTTTGTTGTGCTGAAATTTGCTGTTTTACCTTGTGGTCAAAAGTGAATTTGCCAGTGACTGAAACAGCTTCTTTTCACTAATCACTTTTATTTTGATGCAGATACTTTTATGTACAGTAACGTGCAAAAGTTTTAGCCGCCTGAAAAAATTACATTTAAAAAGCTGACTATCTGGGTAGTTGGCATTTATTTGTTCAGAACAACATTAATATTACAATAAATACTAACAATATTAATATAATAAGTAGTGATTTTACATATCTCAATTTGTTCATTTAACTGTTTCCAAACCTCTGATTGTGGCAGCCCAGTATTACTAATAGTCATCATCCAATACCTGGTTAAATCAAGTGTGCCAGAAAAAATCTGGAAACAAACTTTGTTCTTCAGTCTAGCCCACAAAATATTAACAACTTTTTCGAAAACTAGAAAGTTTTTTTTTTTTTAACTGAATTTGTTTGTTTGCATTTATTGTTATTATATATG